TGGAGCCTTTTCAGATTGGGTTCTTTCACTTAGTAATATGCATTTAAGGCTATTCCATATCTTTTCATGGCTTGATATCTCATTTCTGTTAGTGCTGAATACTATTCCACTGCCTGGATGTGCCGGTTTATTTATCCATGTTCCTACTGAAAGATATCTTGGTTGATTTCAACTTTAGCCATTACAGAAAAATCTGCTGAAAAATATTTGTGTGCAAGTCTTTGTGTGCACTTAAGTTTTTCATTCGTTTGGGTAAATATCAATGTACATGACTGCTAGGTAGTGTAGTAGGAGGATGTTTAGTTTTATAGGAAACTGTCAAACTGTTTCCCAAAGTAGTTGCATCATTTTACATTACCACACACAATAAATGAAAATGTCTCTTACTCCATATAATCACCATAATTTGATAATATCAGTGTTTTGGATTTTGGACATTCCAATAGGTGTGTGGTGGCATCTCATTCTTAATTTAATTTGCAATGACCTGATAATATATGATGTTGATACTATTTTCATTTGTTGATGTGCAACCTGTATTTCTTTGGTGAAGCATCTGAAGTGTTTGCTCCATTGATGTATTTATTAATATTATTTCACCACTGCAGCTTTCTATTTAAGTCTTGAAGTGTTACCATCACTCCTTTTACTTGGGTTCTTCCTTCAACATGGTGTTGGCTATACTGTGTCTTTTGCCTCTCCATTGAACTTTAAAATCACTTTTTCAATATCCACAACATAATTTTCTTAAATTTTGATAGAAGCGCAGTGACTCCATAGATCAAGTTGAGAACTCACATCTTAATATTGTCTTCATACCTTTGACTATTATGTCTTTCCACTTATTTAGTTCATTTATTTCTCATCAAGTTTTTTTTAGTATTCCTCATACAGATCTTGTACATATCTTGATAGATTTATACCTAAATATTTCATTCTAGGGGGTGCTAAGGTATGGTGTTGTTTTTAATTTCAAATTCTGCTTGTTCATTGCTAGTTTACAGAAGACAATTGACTTTTGTATGTTAACTTTTTATCCTGCACCTTTGCCATAATCACTTATTAGTTCCAGTAGGTTTTTGTTGTTTTGTTTTTGCCAAATCTTTCATATTTCCTCATAGGCAATCATGTCATCTGTGAACAAAGACACTGCTTTCCTTCTTACAAATCCCTAAGCCCTTTATTTTCACTGTCTCACTCTCTGGGATATCCAATGCAATGTAGAAAATAAGTCCTGAGAAGGGACATCCTTGCCAATGAATTGGACAATTCAAAATAGGGAATTTTGCAGTACGTAACTTGTATCTCCATAAAACAAGCAACCCATTTAATAGATTCACCATTGAACTCAGGGGGAAAAAATCTGGTCTTGACCCTGCCCTATAAGACCTTAGGGATAGGGGCAACCCCTTTGGGTCCCATCCCACTGTGGGAGCTTTTCTGTCCTCTCAATAAATACTGCTCTCTCCACACATACAAAAAAACCCCTTAGAGATACAAGATTCAATATCCATTGCAATAATGGAGGCAAGAAATTGTGAGGTGATGATTATGGCAATAATAGTGGAACTGGAGATGATTTTAAGGCAAACTGAAAATATTATTTTCCCAATAGACTTGTGAGCTATCAAAAGTTCACTAGCTACCCCTTACCAGATTTTACTTTGCTATATTATGTTGTCTCAGCTTTTTCATTAAACTAAAAATGTGAAAGACCTTTATCCTTCATATCCATCACATTTATAGAGAACTTATTTTTTTGTAGTTGTTTACCGCGGGTGCATTTTCATGTAACACAAGTTCTAGACAACCTTTAATTTGTGCATCTTCCACATTTTCAACATAGCACCACAGAAGAAAAATAAAAATTAAATAAAGTGGACTTAAAAATGTGAAAAAAAATTATAAGAAAAAATACTTCTAAAAAAAAAAAGGAACTTTATGAGTTGCAAAGAATCATGTACTACCAGATACCTTTACAACAAATTGAGATTTTACTGTCTTTTAAAAATTGCTTCTCAGGGCAACCCTCTTGGGTCCCCGCTCCCACTGTGGGAGTTTTTCTGTCCTCTCAATAAATCCAGGTTTTAAAAAAATTCCTTCTCTAGTAAAGTTATTGAATCATATTTATCATCTGATAAACATTTACACATATTATCATGAAGCTAGTTTAAAAATGTCTTTAGCAATTTATCTTAACAGTAATTCAGAAGCACTTTAAACAAGCATATTATTAAGAGGATCCTATGTATGAAGCAAGAAAGGACACACAAGAAGTTATTAGCATGAGGAAAACTGGTGTTTCCCAAAGAATCAAGAAGTTTAATAGTAAAGATTCAGTGTTTCATTAGGCTTTTACTCCATTTTTTGACATTTGATTATGGACATATCCTAGGCCTCAATCCTCCCACATGCCCTGCTATTCCACATGGGGGCAATGTGAGAAATTCAGGTGCTTTCTTCTTTTAGCACCAGCAAAATCAAACCATTTGCCGAAATTGACCCAAAGCCCATCTCTTAATCACCATATAAATTCCAAGAAAAGTCTCCTTTCCTTGCTCTGAGGTTTTCCGCTTTGTTTTTTGGGGTTTTTTTAACTAGCTTGGGAAGCCTTTTCTGTTTTCTCAGAAAGTATTAAACAGTCTCATTCACTTTTGATATGTGACCTAGACCAAATTTAGGATGGACTTGATCTTGGGTTTCTTGGGTTCCTAGAAGTGCAAAATAACTGAAAATATTTGAGGGAAGAGAGTGTCAATATGTGAGACTCCTAGTTTATTTACAAATAAAAAGAAAACCCTTTCACTTTTAATAGTGTATCCTCACAATTAAGGAGAAAAACAGAGTAGTGATTTTTCCAAATTATTTCATAAGAGTTCCAATTAGAAACAATTTTGTTTATAACTTTATTCTTGAAATTTTACTTCTCAACATTTTTCACAAGCCTGATATATTTGTACTCTTGATCTCAAGTATGTTAAAACCAATACAAGCCATGGGTCTCATGTATTTAAAAAAGGCATCTGGAAATATATAAACATATGGTACCTATTCATGAATAGTAATGCAGGTGTTTGGAGGGCAGAGTATAAAATTGCAACGCTATAGTATTTAAACCACAGCCACATACTCATATTTGAGTATTTGTGAATAGGATGTGGAAATAATCATTCAAATGTTCATTATGAGGATATGTTCATAAAATTGTATGTTACTTCATCCCATCATGGAAAGAAATTGATATAAATGCCTTTCAATCCTGAGAAACTAAAGATGTATACAGTATATTTGTTATGAAGTACGATGAGGTGAGAAAAGCCTGAACTGACAAGGAAAAACATGATTCATTCAGAGTATTTAAAAAATAATTAAATTTTATTAAAGCATGAGCACTATATTACATTCTATATAAAATGGTATACAAGTTAAACAGTAAACATGAATCCTACACATGCACAAAATATTTTGGTTCTTTTGATTAGGTTCTCCTCTCTGATAATTATATTCTTCAATTTCTAAGAGTAAGACTAATTTTCACTAATCTTTGATATAAAATACTAATTTTCCTTCAAAGAAGAGGATAATTTCTTCTCCATTATCTCAACCACATAAGTGGTCCCTAATAACCTATCACACTATTCCCATGAAAATCTCAGTCTCTCAGTGTTACAGCCTGCTCTGTTTCATGGTCAACTGGCAGAGCAATTGTTTCTGACAATCTAGGGGCCCTCTGTTGTGTCAATAAATTTGCCAAGAGAAAACTGAATGCACTGAGTATGATGATTTACATAATAGTTTTACATATAGTCTCTGCCCATTCATGCGTTCTCATTAAAAATCACAACATTTTATCTTAAAATTTAGTGTCCTTGTTCTTCAAGTAAACATGGAGATAAATGATCTCCACCTAATGAAAATATCTTACTGATACCTTTCCAGAGACCATCACATTGAAACATAAAAAGCAAGTCATGAAGTAATAAAATCAACAAGTTTCAAACTTCAGGAAAAAGGCGTAAAAAGTAATGTAAGTTTTCAGGAAACTGCAAAAATAATATAATCATAGCTCCCTTACCCACGCTTTTACTTTCTGTGGTTTTAGAAACCAATAGTCAACAGCAGTCCAAAAATACTGAATGAAAGATTCCAGAAATAATTCATAAGTTTAAAAAATTGCATGCTGCTCTGAGTAGTGTAATAAAATCTTGTACTTTCCCATTCCATCCTGCTTGGGACATGAATCATCCCTTTGCCCAGAGTAACCATGCTATGTACACTATTTGCTCATGAGTTACTATAACAACTAATTAATTAGTTATAATAGTGTCCATTTCAGTTATCAGCCAATAGTCATGTGTCACAGTGTTTGTGTTCATTATTTTATTTAATAATGGCCCCAAAGTGCAGAAGTAGTGATGCTGGCAATTTGGATATGTTAAAGAGAAGCTGTAAAGTGCTCCCTTTAAGTGAAAAGTTGAAAGTTCTCAACTTAATAAACAAAAAAAATCATATGCTGTGGTTGCTAAGATCTATTATAAGGACAAATCTACCCATGAAATTGTGAGAAAAAAAGAAATGTGTGCTAGATTTGCTATCACACCTCAAATTGCAAAAGCTATGGCTGACTCAGTACTATCTGTAACTTCAGGCATCTACTGGGTGACTTGAAGCATATCTCTTATGTAGGGGAGGGATATATGGTATTTTACAAATAAAGAAATGGGACCTTTCCATACCAACTTTCTCCACCAATATTCAACATCTCATGGATTTCAAATAATTTTATCATTCAGTTGTTGTCATGAATTTAACATGTGAGGTTGACTAACCTTCTAAGACTATAGACTTAGTTCTCCTTTGTATGAATTCTCTGAGATGAGAAGTGAGTAAATGATTTACTCCCACTCATTACATTTCTAAGATCTCTCGCTAGTATAGATTCTTTGGTGAATCCTGAAATCAAACCATTGCCTAAAGGCCTTGTCTCCTCCTATAGATTTCTATGGCTTCACTCCAGTATGAATTCTCTCATGACCCCAAAGGTGTGAACGTTTGATAAAAGCTTTACCGCAATAATTACATTTATGTGGTTTTTCTCCAGGATGTATATTCTGGTGTCTAGTGAGGCTTGAATACTGTTTAAAGGCTTTGCCACATTCTTTACAACTATAAGGTTTTTCTCCAGTATGAATTCTCTGATGTATTGTAAGGTTTGAATCTTGACTAAAGGCTTTGCCACATACATTACATTTATACGGTTTTTCTCCAGTGTGGATTCTCTGATGTTGAGTAAGGCGTGAACACCAGTTAAAGGATTTGTTACATTCATTACACTTGTACGGTTTTTCTCTACCATTAACTTTCTGATGATCCCCCAGGCTAGGGCTTTGAATAAAAGCATTATCACATATATCAAATTCACAGTATTTCTTTTCAGTATGCATTTTCTGGTGTCTAGTAAGATGTGCAAATTGGGTATAGGCTTTATCACATTCATTACATTTATAAGGTTTCTCTCCAGTATGGTTTCTCTTATGTTTAGTTAGGCTTGATCGTACAGTAAAAGCTTTTCCACACTCATTACATTTATGAGGTTTCTCACCAGTATGAATTCACTGATGTTCCACAAGACTTGAACTTTGGATAAAACCCTTATCACATTCACTACATTTGTGTGGCTTTTCTCCAGTATGGATTATCTGATGTTTCATGAGGCTAGAAATGTGAATAAAAGTCTTGCCACACACATTACATTTGTGTGGTTTCTCTCCAGGGTGTACATTCTGATGCTTGGTAAGGTGTGAGCACTGCTTAAAGGCTTTGCCACATTCTTTACATTTATAAGGTTTCTCTCCAGTATGAATCCTTCGGTGAATCCTGAGGGTAGACCACTGTCTAAAGACCTTGCCACATTCAATACATTTGTATGGTTTCTCTCCAGTATGAATTCTCTCATGATCCCAAAGATAGGAACGTTTGGTGAATCCCTTGCCACATTAATTACATTTATAAGGTTTCTCTCCACTGTGAATTCTCTCATGACGCCAAAGGTCTGAACATTTGATAAAAGTCTTACCACATTCACTACACTGATAGGGTTTTTCTCCAGTGTGAATTCTCCAATGACTGGCAAGGTGGGAATTCTGATTAAAGACCTTGCCACATATATTACATTTATATGGTTTTCACCACTATGGATTCTCTGATGTCTTGTGAGGTTTGAGAACTGCTTAAAAGCTTTACCACACTCATTACATTTGTAAGGTCTCTGCTCAGAGTGAATTCTCTGATGACTAGTGAAGACTGAATATTGGTAAAAAGTCTTCCCACATGTATCACATTTGTATGGTTTTTCTCTAATGTGTGTTTTCTAGTGGTATGTAAGCAATGAAGTATTCTCAAAAATCTTGCTATATTTATGGCAAATGTTAGTTTTGATGCTAGGAGAAAATCTTTGAAGTAGTAAAACTAAGAATAATTTTTAATAGACTTCTCAACTTGATTACATTCATAAATTTTGTCTTCAATTCTGAATCTCTGTAGATGTGACTGAAAGTTAAATCCAATCCTATTTTCAAAATATTTAATATACTTATTTCCTGTACAGACCATCTTACTTTTTACTTTTAATAAATTCCTTAAAAATGACTTCCCATGTTTGTAATATTGATGTGTGGGTTTTTTTACAAAAACACTTTGCTCTAAAGGTAAATTAATCCAGGATTTGCTCTCTTGCTGATCTTTTCTACCACTCAGATTTATGTTATCTTTCATAAGCACGCCTTTGGAATTGCTTTCTTCATATCTAAAATTACTCTCAAATTCATGCATATTTTCCCAGCCTTCCCTGAAGTCAAAATCATCAATGCAATGGCTTTTATGTCTTCCCAATACAACTGGTTTGGATAATTCTCCTTTATCAATGTCCTCTTTTGGTAAAAATTCCTTTATCATAAATCTAGCAGAAATATCTGAAAGATATAAAGAACCACAGGCTTCATATTAACTTGAGTTGCAAGACAAAAATTACACTAAAAGTAGTATTTATAATGAAAAGATAAAAAGGAGCTTCTAGGTTGGTGAAAAAGAATGCCTCCACATGCCAATAGGATAGAAATCCTCAAATTCCATGGGTTCCTGTGCTCAGGACCCTTCTGGACCTCGCCCTATGTATCTTTTTGTCTTGCTGTTCATTTGTAGTCTTTAAAATATCCTTCATAATAAATTGGCAATCATAAGGTTTTTTTTAAGAGAAAAAAAGAAAATATAAAAGGTTCTCAATATTTATAAATATTTAAAACTACAAAGTGAATAGAACTCTTTATTAAAGGATGATTGCATGTACTTCAAAGTATTTTAATAGAAGTCCTACTTTCAAACACCATATAACCAAGTCACTTACACAAGCCCCAAAAGCTGACCATATCAAAACACAGCACTGGCAGTGGGCAATCAGGTGTTTTATATTTGAATAAAAAAATTATACAAATGCATATGTACTAAGTACTGCATGCAAATAAATGCAGCATCGTATGAAACTGTGGTAAATAATCGCTCAGAAGTCTACCTAATAAATAAGATAAATAAGAATTCAAAAGTGTAAAATAAAAGCAGTAATTAAAAAATCGGAAGGATTTTTTAAAAAATCATTGCATATCTATGCAGAATATGCATTTTGCCATAGTTGTAATTGGTGCATTGCAGTCATACTCTATAATACTGAAAAATACCATCTGTAAATAATAAATCAAATCAATAAATAAAACATATTATCCTGAGATAAATTCTGAGATAAGTAACCACAAATACGACAGGTGTAAAATTATAATGATTTCTCCCTTAGGAACAAGAGAAAGAATTTGTGTTCTAGAAGGACCATACAATAAAAGAATCAAAAAATATATTGATAAAGCTCCCATATATTATTGGAAACCTAAGTCACGGACATCCTCACTGACATTTGAAATCGCTGTTTCAGGGAAATATATAGTACTATAACGACTAAGAATTGGGTAAAGGTAATGTCAATAAAATTGTGAAGTAGGGAACAACAAATGAACGTTCCTCCACAAAAACAGCCACCATAATGAGTCCCTACTACATCATTGTTAAACAGAAACATGGGATTGGAGTTGCCACAGAGAGTCCTCATCAGGGCAATGCCTGGTGAAGTTGTGGGAACAGGACAACCAGTAGGATCCCATAATTGTGGAATCACCAGCAGCATGCAACACCTGCCTGGGAAAACTTCAGGCACAGGACTCTAATGCATACAAATAGCCACATAGGGTGTACCTGAAAAAGCCACAGGGGTGGGGCTTGTGAAGCCTTGGGAGCCCAATCAATCCAGTGTGTCCAGGAGGTGGCACATAGAGTCAAAAGAGATTATTATCCAGCTTTAAGACTTAATGTCTATCCTCCTGTGTTTCAGACATTCTTGGTGCCTATTATTCCTTTCTTTTTGTGAATTTTTCCTTTTTTGGTTTGGGAGTATCTGTCCTATGCCTGTACTACCGTTGTATCTTGGAAGTAGAAAACCTGCTTTGATTTCACAAGCTCATATATAAGACTGTGTACTTTGGACTTTTGAGTAGGTACTAGAAAAACTTAAGACTTCATGTGGCCATAAGATTGAAATGAATGAATTTGTATGTAAGAAGGACATGAGTTTGGCGGGGCCAGGGGAAAAATACTATGGTGTGAACGTTGGTCCACTTTAAAACTCATTAAAAATTAATCCCCAGTGTTTCAGTAATGAAAGCAGAGGCCTTTAAGAGGCCCCTTTAATGGATTAATAGTTGATCACTAAGAGGGGACTGATGGTTTTATAAGAAGAAGAAAAGACCTGAACTGGCACACTCAAGTCCCCTCACCATGTGATGCCCAATGCCTCCCTGAGATTCTGCAAACAGTCTCCACAGCAAGAAGGTTCTCACAAAATGAACCCCTTTGACCTTGGAATTTTCAGCTTCCAAAACTGTAAAAAGTAAATTTTGTTTCTTACAAATTACTCAGTTTCAATTATTCTGTTATAAGCAGCAGAAAATAGACAAAGACAGACACCTAGAGTGAAATGTCAAGTATACCATGGATTTTCAGAAAAAAAATGATGTCGGTTTAGGTTCATCAATTGTAATACATGTATCACTCTGGTGGAGAATTTGATAACGATGTAAGCTGTGCATGTGTGGGGTCAGGGAATATGTGGTACATCTCGGTACCTTACTCTCATTTATAGTGTGAAACCAAACTGCTCATATAAAAGCACAATACATGGAAACAAACTAATAATTATGGCCCAAAAACACACACACAAACACACACACAAAAATGACAAAAACTATCCCTAAAGATACCCAGACATTGGACTTTATGAGATAAAGAATTTAAATTTCTATTTTAAATATGCTCAAAGAGCTTTTACAATAAACCAAGTGCAAATAATTAAAGGAAACAATTAAAAACAATGTCCCCCAATGTAGAGAATATTAATAAACAAATTTGTTCAATTATATAAAGAGAAACCAAATAGAAATTCTGAAGCTGAAATGAAAAAACCCTAAAGTGGCTCAACAGCAGTATTGAGCAGGCAGAAGATTCAATCAACAAAACTGAAGATTGAGCAACTGAAATTACCTTATCTCAGAAGCACAAATAAAAGCAAATGAAGAGGTAAGGCATGGTAGCTCACATCTGTAAATTTCAGCACTTTGGGAGGCTGAGGCAGGAGGACTGCTTGAGCCCAGGAGTTTGAGACCAGCATGGGCAACATAGAAGGACATCATCTCTAAAAAAAAAAAAAAAAAATAGCCAGCTGTGGTGGTGTGTATCTGTAGTCTCAGCTACACAGGAGACTGAAGAGAAAGAATTGCTTGAGCCCAGGAAGTCGACGCTGTGGTGGGACGTGATAGTGCCACTGCACTCCTTCCTGGACATCAGAGTAAGACCCTAACTTGGAAAAAAAAGAATAAAGAAAAACAAATAGAGCTTAAGAGACCTATGGGACACCATCAAGCATACCAACATACAGATAATGATAGTCCCAGAAGGTGAGTGTCTTAGTTCATTTGTATTGCTATAAAGAAATATTTGAGGCTGAGTAATTTATAAAGAAAAGGAGTTTATTTGTCTCACAGTTCTGCAGGCTATACAAGAAGCATAGCACTAGCATCTGCTTCCAGTGATGGACTCAGGATATTTCCACACATGACAGAAGACAAGTGGAATGGTAATGTGCCAAGATCAACAAAGAAAGAGCAGAAGCAAGAAAGAGAAGGAGAAAGGTGCCAGGCTCCTTTTAACAATCAGTTCTCATGAAAACAGAGCAAAAAACTCATTCATTACTGTGAGGATGGCACAAGCATTCACGAGAAATCCACCCCTGTGACCCAAACACCTCCCACTAGGCCCCACCTCCAACATGGAAATCAAATTTCATACATAAGATTTGAAGGAGACAAATATCCAAGTTATATCAGTGAGTACAAAAAGAAATCAGAGAAAAGACAGTTTGAAGAAATAAGAAAAAAGTCCCCAAATTTAATGAAAGACACGACCCAAGGAGTTCAACAAATCTTAAGACAAAATCAAAGTCATGTAGTCACCTTACAATGAAGCCATCAAAAGACAAAGAATATTTTGAAAGAGACAAGAGGTTATTCCTCAGATAAAAGGGATCCTCAATAAGATTAACAACAGATTTCACATCAGAAATGATGGGGGCCAGAAGACAGCAGAATGACATTTTCAAGGTGCTAAATAAAGTAACTTGTCTACCAAGAATTCTATGTTCATCCAAACTATCCTTCAAAAATAATGGAGAAATTAAGACACTTCCAAAAAAAACAAAAACTGAGATTCCATTGCTAGCAGATCTGTCTTACAAAAAACATAAAGGAATCCTTTAGGCTAAAATGAAAACCACACAGTAACTTGAATCTATGCAAAAAAATAAGAAACACTGGTAAAGGTACTACATAGGCGGATATATGGTTAATATTAATGTATTTTTGATTTGTAAATTTTCCCCCATATGATTTAAAAGACAACATAAAACAGTCAGTATAAACAGTGGCTCAGCCTGTAATCCTGCGCCTTTGGGAGGTTGAGGTGAGTGGATTGCCTCAGCCCGCGGGTTCGAGACCCGCCTGGGCAACTTGGCGAGACCTCATCTCTACAATAAATCAAAAAATTAGCCGGGCGTGGTAGCGTGAGCCTGTAGTTCCAGGGTTTTGAGAGCAGACTGGGCAATTGGGAAGACCTCATCTCTACGATAAATAAAAAACCAGCTGGGCTTGGTGGCGTGTGACTGTAGTCCCAGCTACTTGGAAGGCTGAGGAAGAAGGATCACCTGAGCCTAGCAGGTCGAGGCTGCATTGGCCGTGAGCATGCCACTGCACTCCGGTCTGGGCGACAGAGACTCCAACTCAAAAAAAAAAAAATCTATGTTGATTGATACACAATGGACACATATGTAATTTGTCGCAACAACACAGGAGAGAAGAATGGAGTTATACAAGAGTAAAGGTTTTTTTATACTACTAAAACTAACTTTGTATTAATTTGAGCTAGACTGCTATCAAGTAAGATTTTATTTGTAATCACCACAGCAACTACTAATAAAAAAATGCTTAAATATATAGCAAAGGAAACAAGAAGAGAATCAAAATGGTACACTATAAATACCTATCTAGCATAAAAGAGGGATGTAAGGATAGAATTGAAGGAAACAGATATAAGACCTATTGAGAAAAATAACTAAGTGACAGAAGTCCTTCTTTATCAATAAACAGAATATAAATATGCAAAATAAGGTCAGATGTTTATTTTACATAATATACAGAAAAAATACTCAAAAATCTAAATTTTAAAAAAGTTAAGTATCAGGCCAGGTACAGTGGCTCAAGCCTGTAATCCCAGCACTTTGGGAGGCCAAGGCTAGAGGACAGTCTGAGCTCAGGGGTTCGAGACC